CCCCAAGCCTATCCCTTTCTACTTCTTATGATAAGACTTATGCCATCAGGGAGCCCTGACTAAGGAACAAAGGAGTCTTGCCAAGAGGAGGTCTCAAGTACTTATCAGCATTCATTTGAGATTGCAAGTAGGTCTGAGCTAAGAAGAAGTTGTGTCCAGCAGAACCCAATTCCATAGGAACCCAAGTTCCAAGACTGGAAGGCACCGGGAGTTGAGGACAAGCTCACTACTGAGAATCAGTCTCCCACTGAAGGATGTCCTGGCTGCACAGACTGGGACCGCATTGTCCTAGATGGTGGTAGTGCTGGTGCAGAGCAGCTGCTGCACCTGCCACCTGCCACACACAACAGCAGCTTCAGCACAGCTCAGGGCTGGCTGTGGTTCCAGACCCAGAGCTGGACTTAGATTTCAGGGACTGACTTGTTTCCTTTTTAGGCTTCTTCTCTGCTCCAGCGTGGATGTTTTGAGGGCATTGGACTCCTCTCGGCTTCTTCACTACCTCTAGTTCTACCTCCAGCCTCTGTGCCCTCTGTGGCTCTGAGCTGCCTGCACTGCCTCCTTGTGCTGGAACAGCTGTGGGAGGAACAGCCGTGTCACACCACGGTCATTGCTTCTCATCCAAGCAACCCTCTGCCGCTTTGGCCAGGACAGGATCCAGGGGTTTGTCCTCCAGTCCAGCCACTTCAAGCTCTTGAGTTGAGCAAAGCTGCCAGGCAGGGTGACCCGCCTACTATTGAGGACATCCAGGTGCTAGAGGTTGACTAGATGGCCAAGGCTTTGTAGTTGCTGCATTTTGTCCTCCTATGGTCCAGTTGCACCAGGCATGCAAGACCACAGAAACCTCATGGCAGTCAATTTATGGCGGGACAGATCCAGGATGGTGGCCTTTGGGTTGGACTGCAGCCAGCTCCTTGACTGGGACCTCGCTCAGGTCTGGCTCATGCTAGGCCAGCTTCTCAAGGAGATGCATGCCCTTGCTACGGGTCCTGCCATGGTGACAGGTCCTGGCTCTGGGACTCTGACTGGCAGGAGTTGGCTGCTCAGCTCCTCAAGAAACTCACACTCAACCCACAATGTCTGTGCCTTCTACCTTTGCTAGTGGGAAACCCTACCAACTTCCACCCACAGCCACTCCCAATGCCCCTTTTCCACCAGTGCCCTCTAGTCATTCTTAATAATCCTTTTAGGACTGGCATTTGTTTTTGTGTAGCTGTACTTAATATGCCACAGCCTTCTTTCCATTTGACTTTTAAAAACATTCTATCTTTCTGTAATATTTTAGTCACCCAAAACTTGTAAATTTTTACTTTTTTGCTTTTTTTTTTTCAGTCCTCACCCAATGATATTTTTCCATTGATATTTTTAGAGAGAGTGGAAGAGAGTGAAAGACAAAGAGAAATATTTTCATAAGAGCAACACATTGATTGGTTGCCTCCTGCAAGTGCCCCGACCAGGACCCAGGTCAGGGAGGAGCCTGCAACTGAGGCTGATGCTCTGTCCACCTAGCCAAACTGGCTAGGGCTACCCTTATGCTTTTAACATTTAAGATATGTTCACTCTCTTGCCTTCTCTACTTGTTTTAAACTATACAGACGCTCTCTGCAAGTGAAAACTCCAACCTGGAAAATTTAAGCATAGTCAGTAATGATGTTATTCAGATTGTATTAAATTTTTAAGAAATATTTTATTTAACAAAAATTCCCCAAACATTATATTTGATGTTGTATATGTATATACATATATATTCCAACACAGCATCATTGTGATGTATGAGGAAACACATTCTTCATCTAAATTGTACCGACTGATGTGCATAAGAGTATCTCAGGTTAAATTTATATTAGATTTATGTATTTTACCAAGCATTATGAGTGAAACATTTTGATATACTAAACAGACATTTCTCCCCTTTATGATCAATATAATTTCATCAAATCTAAAAGCAAATCTGGGAAATTGAAATACAAGCAAAAGGAAAATTTCTATAAATACCAATAAAGGTTTTTTTAAAAAAGATGGTTTAACATAGTTAAAATGTGACTGTCTTTTCAGCTAGATCATTTTAATTTTTCCTTTGGAGAACTACTGAAAAAATACTAAATTATATATGCAAAGGCAGTGGAACCACATGCTGATAATCAACACAAGAGTCTTTGAAGCCACCCGGAATTCAAGCTGTGCATATGGGGAACTCAGCTATTCCAAACAATCTGTATACTAAGGGCTATTCTCCATAACCCATTTGTGCTATAAGTAACTTAGCAAATGGAATTAGATTTTATTTCCAAAGACTTGTTACATATCATTGCATGCTTACAGATACACACAGGTGTTAATGAATAATCTACTCCTAACACTTCACCCCTAGATCTAGAGATAGCAGCAATGTCTTTTAGCCAATAGTTAATTTGCTCTTTTTACTAATGTCTATTTTGTAGGAAAGTTGATTCAGATTTCCAAACTTGAATGGAAATTTTAAGGAGAAAATATTTTATTTTATTTTTTAAAACATGTTTATTTAAATTACAAAGTTGCCTATATTTTACATTTCAAATTATTTCAAAGTATTCTTTTTTAAATATATTTTACTGATTTTTTTTAATTTTTCTTTTTTCAGAGAGGAAAAGAGAGGAATAGAGAGCCAGAAACATCTATGAGAGAAAAACATTGATCAGCTGCCTCCTGCACACCCCCCACTGGGGAAGTGCCCGCAACCAAGGCACATGCCCCTGACCGGAATCGAACCCGGGACCCTCTGATTCGTAAGCCGATGCTCTATCCACTGAGCCAAACCAGTTTCGGCTAGGGGAAAATATTTTAAACATATACTTGTCAAATACTTAAATTCTCAATAAGGTGATCAGTAATGTTGATGTAGGGCTGGTAAAGAGAAGGGATTTTTCACCACATGCAAAATTTACTAAAGGTCATGCCACTTAAATTTAGGCACACCTGAAATTAATCTAAAGTAATCTTTCTAGACTTAAACTATTTTGTAAGTTCCATTTATTTAGTAAATATTGAGTGCTGAGAAAAGTTTGTTGAACAAATAGGTACCTCTTACACCCATGTCTTTGAGTTAAATGTAAGAAATTTAAACAAAGTGATATGGAATCCACCCTGGAGGAATTTATTTAAAGCCCTAAGACATGCACAAAGAAGTTCATATATTCTGTAGGAAGCAGAGGTGGTAGGTCTTTTAAAAGATAGTTCCCACATGTGCTAAGGAGGTGGAATGGGAGGGGCCAAGGGATGGGGCGAGGTAGCACCTGCCACGTGCACCTACCACGTGTACCTGCACTGAAGTGTGCAGGCGCCATTTGTAGGGAATGAGAAGCTGGAGAACATTTGTGAACAGATAAATGATACGGTCAGGGTTGTGGTTGGGGGAGAGTAATCTGCAGGAAGTAGGTGAAATGCATGGAGGGTGGAAAGACAGTTGCAGGAGTGGACATCCCGCAGGTTCCTGGAATGTTGGAGCTGAAGCTCTGAAACAGGTCAGGGGGTGGGGGTGTAAAGGTCTGGGAATTTGGGAGTGCTCTTCCTCTTCCCAGGGTTCAAACTGGAGAAGCCCCTAGGAGAGAAGAGAACTGGACAGGTCCTGGGCAGCGGAGGCCCGTGGCGTCTATACCAAACACCCAACTCTGGCACCTGGAAAAACCACCCAGCTCAAGGTAAGGCCCATGGGAGTGCGGGAAGCCTACGTGTGCGAACCCTCTGTATAGTGCTTCCCAGAGCATATCAGGGCCGAGACAGAAGCAAGGATTAAGTAACATGTGTTTAAAACTGAGTGTGTTTGCACCTTCTTCAACAGCCATCTTCCTTGGCCTAAAGAAACTCGGAAAGGCGCCCCCAGCTTTAAATACACTGCCATGGTTGGTCTGCGTTCTTTTTTAAAGGGTATTTTAAGTTACATTGTTTCCCTGAAAGCCCTGTAATTAGCTGTGAAGTCTGTCTCTACCTCGTACCTGTCAGGGAGCTTAGGGGTCAGAAACCTGGAAAGCCAGTGACATTATCCAAGTACCTCCTTTCCTGATGCGCGCGCCCCGGAGGCAGGGGAAGGTCTGGGTGTCCATCTGAGGTCGCGCCGGGGAGGTACTTGGCACCGTTTTCCAGGTGGCTGGGAGAGCGGGCAAATCAAAGAGAGCCTGAGTATAAATAGCGCCCCTGTGGGAAGCGAGAGTTAAGGCTGCCACCAACCCGGCTTTTCCCACAGCCCCGGGAAAGCGGGGTTCCTGGGGCTGACTACCCCCGCCACCCCCCCAGCAGAGCTCGAGTTGCTCAGAGGAAAGTCGGGTCCTCTCTGCGTTCCCAGTCTCCCTGCAGGAAACCCCCTCGGGCCCCATCACCCAGGGGCGATCGTGGAGCAGCGGGTCGGGTCGCGCAGGGCTGGCGCGGGGAGCCGCCGCTGGAAGCAGAAGGGCCCGGGAATCCCGCGAAGCCTCCTGAGCGCATAGCAGCGGGGCGCCCCGGGCTTTCCCGGCCTCGCGGCTGCGGACCCCCCCGCCTGGCCAGAGGGAGAGCCGCGGGGAAGCAGGTGGGTGTGGAGCGGTGGGCGCTGGAGGAGAGGGTGGCGCCGCCGAGGTGTGGGCGGTGCCCGCTCCGGCCGCGCCCCGGGCTCGGAGGCGCTGTCCCCGGTCCAGCGCACGGCTCCCGCGCTGCCAGGCCGAGCCTTGGGGTCCAGCCGGCCGCCAGCCCCGCCACCTGGGCCCGCAGCTCCCCCCGAGAGCCCGGAGAGCCCCGGAGGAGGAGGAGGACGAGGAGGAGGAGGCGGCGGCCGCTCCCTCCCGGGTGCGCGGGGCGCGGGAGGAGGCGGAGCGCGAGGTGGGGTGGCGGCGGGCGGGGTGCGCGCCGGGCCGGCGCCCCCAGCGCCCCGCCTCGCCTCCCGCGCCCAGCCTCTGCCGGCTCCGCCGCTGGCACACACCCACCGGGCACCCACCGCCCTCCGCCCCCGCCGCCGCCGCCGCGCCGCGGGCCCAGCGAGCGGCAACTCCCGGGCGGCTGGACCGGCTCAGCGCCGCTCGGTTTCCCCGTGCGATCCCGGCTCGCTCTGGCCGGGCGGCGGCGGCGGCAGCAAGGGGATGGGGGCCCGCTTGGGGAAGTGGGTGAAGATCGATGAAGATTATTTTTCTTTTTAAGGATTCCTTAGGTTCCTCCCGCCGTCTCTCCTTAGAGCCTTTTCAGAGGAGATCGTGAACCAGAGTCCGGGATGTAAAGAGAGGAGGGAAAACGCCACGCCTGGAGCTCCAGCCAGCCGGGGAGACCCTCCTCTCGGCGGAGGGGAGGGGGATTTCCAGCAAGACATCATTGGCGAAGGGGATCGTCGCAGGGAGAGGAGTCCCCAGGGATCGGGAATCCCCCAGCCCTTTGTGGTGCCTGCTGAACGGGTCTATGGGAGCTAGGTAAGTTGGGGGGGGGGCGGCGGGGGGGGATTGCTGCTTCCCGAGGGGTTCTTCCTTTAATAATGAACCATCGTGGGCAGCCTAGCCAGTCTACAGACATTGGAAACTGCCATATGGTGCCCAGTGGACTTACACACAAAGCTGAGGGGAAGGCGCTCAAGTCTTAGCCCCCCAAAAGCTTCCCAGCAGCCTGCCTGGGAAGGGGTAGGAAATGTTATTTCTAGGAGATGAGCTCTGCTGCCTTCTGTTCGTTTGTTGGTAAATGCCACACTCACATGCACACACTTGTGGGGCCGGATTTAGGGAATGTGATGTCTCTGATTTATGAACAAACCTCAGCACACAGAAGCAGTGCGTGCATGTTATTCTTCAGGCACCGAGAGGTCTTCGCTCTGTAGCAGGTACCTGGGAGGGAGAAGGAGTCTCTGAGTCTCTAAGGAAGAGCCCCAAGGCTGTTTCCATCACACAGGGCTAGGGGGTTGGGGAATACAGTTGCCCTGAATGGAACCAAAGACACCATTTGCCTCCTCATTTGCTTCCAGTGCTTAATGACCATTTCCCAAACAATGTACTGCCATCCATTTTCTCGAATTATGAGCGTTTGGTGTATTCATTCATAAAACTTGTCAGTGTGCACACACATGCCATTTATGCACCCCTTAGGGCTGCACAAGTGATACAATGATAGCTATAAGATCACACTGGAACGTTTACAGTGCAGAGATGTACACGGGGTTCACTTCACGCAGGTTCAGCATTCCTTCTTCTAATCAAGTTATGCAATAATGTCAATTCTTAAGTAGCATTTCACATTTCTTTTCTTTCTTTTTTTTTTTGCAGTAATTGTTTTTTGGATTTTGTTGGGCACTTGATTTTTCAAGCTCAGCTCAAAGGAAAAGCAAGAATTTGTTGTTTTTAAACATGTAGTATTGTGTGGGACAATAAATACCAATGGAGATATTGTATTTCGTAGGACAAGAGAAAGGTACATTCCAGTCCAAGATCCAAAGTCTAACTTGTCAGTACTGAGTAACTTAGAGGAAAGGTTTTGAAAAAAGAAGATAATATTTAAAAAATTATACTGTGTAAAATAAAGTTTTGCATATTTCACTCTTTAGAGGGGTGTGTGTATGTGTTTGTGTGTATGTGGGTCAACAAATATAAAGTTGTCCAAAGCTTACTTGTAATACGTGAGTAAGATCTATAGACATCTAGACTAGAGAGTTCTTGGTTCTTAACCCAAACTTAAACAATTCAGTAATTTGGCATATTATAAATGTATATATGTATTTAATTGCTGCTAGAGGTGGTGGTTTTTTATATAGGACCCACATGATATGCTTACTTGTATGGTCCCATGGATTTTCTGAAAATTTTCTGAAAATCTGAAAATTTTCCAATGCATAAGTAACTTTTTTTTCTCATTGAATGAAAATTATTCTCTTCACCTAAAGGAGTTAATATGCCTCCACAAAGTAATATTACGGCCCCCTCCCTCTGAGGTCAGGTTCAGAGCAGTTGTTCATCACCAATAGAATCTTGTCTAATGTCCTCTTTTTCCTCTTGGCTCTCCTCAGACTCCTGGAGAAAGGAGTGGCTCTCTTGGCAGTTGTCTTTGCTTCTTCCTCCTTTTCACCTTCACTTTACCCTCTCCATGTCAGGGTCCCCAAACCTTCCTCATTCTCAAACACACTCTGGCTCCAGAAAATAACTCCACTGCCTGCCACTTTGAGAATGCTAGTGTCTCTTTTATTCTTCTCCTGTTTTTCTAGATAGTAACATACTAGGCATCAGTTGAAACAATTTCCAATTTCAGGTTTCTCCAAATCCCCCAGTTCACCTTTTCAAGCATGCATGTTTACTGAATATCCAGAAAAGGTTAGTGAAAATGATTTACCTTCTGTTTGGCTTTTAAAGTTTCCTTGTTGATACCTTGAAGCATCTCTGAATATGAACTCAGCCTCCTAATTTCCAGTATGGTAAGAAAATGAGATTGCTAGAAAAATCGAAATGACGGGTTATGTGTTCAGTCACATTTGTTGGCCATTTAAAAGCATATCTGTCCAGGTTTTTTGCACACTGCCTGCATATCTGTGGAAAATCTTGGTTGAACATAGAAAAAGTATTTTTTTTCTCTCGAATTTATATCTGGTGTTTTGAAATGGTATTCTAGAGACTGGTATGCATGCATATATGTTATGAAAGTAGACCAAATTACTGGTAAAAATGTAGGAAACTTATAAGATGTTTTATTTTAACCTAATGCATTATTTTCTTGATAAATTACGGTATAAGGAATAATTTGTCCCTTTAAATCTGCAACCCCTTAGAGACTAGTTTCTAAGGAATATCCTTAAAGTTGACAAGACATCTTCTCATGTACATTTGATGGTAAATATATAAGGTTAAGACACTTATTACTTCAGAATGAAATACTGTTTGAGATTTGCTTTGTCAGGTGGGTTTTGCATACAATTATGATGCCTCTATTATTTTCACAAGGGTTTCAGAAAAGTGGAGAGTACAGATGCTTTGTATGTAAGTTATAAGAGTTTAAGGCTTTTCTACTCCCAAAATGATAAAACCAATTTCATAGAGCAACACAGTCTTCAAATTTTTAGTCAGGTACTACAAGTATCTTGGTATCTGTAGCCCATTCTTGCTCATTGCTTATTTCCTCCTTATGCTTCTTAAATATATATTCCCACCAACATGTTACTGCAACCCCAGGTTGATAGGCAGAAGGTCAAGTGTGTGAGGCCAGGGGCTCCTTGACCTGGGTAAGCCAAACCCTATTGTATTTTCTGAAAGGGAAAAGTGCCTGTTCCTATAGGCTGAATTGTACCTCTCTGTACGGTCCGAATTAATTTCGTGTATCCACTCATTCATTAACTTCCTTATCACTCATTAGGATGTATAAAGAGAAGAGTGCTTGATTAGACTGTAACAGTTGCGAAACAGGTAGGAAACACAGTCATGCCCCTCAAGGGTTTTTTACAGTAGAGAGTAAAACTTGAATGAGTAGACTCCTTAAATCTGGGATCTCTTGCATACAGAAGTGCACTTAACAATTTCATACTTAGTAAACTAATTAATGCAGATTCATGAAGAGGATCATGAAAATTCACCACAGTCTGTGCATTGAGAAATGATTAGAAAACAATAATGGTAACAAATTAAAATAATTAATTAAAAATTTTAAATTACATTAAAACATTATAAATATTTATGTTACATAATCGAACCTGCATTTCAGGTACATGCCCTTGACTGGGAATTGAACCCATGACCTTTCAATGTATGAGCCCACACTCTAACCCCTGAGACACACTGGCCAGGGCTATGTTATATTTTAATAATTATCATTGATGTATAATCAGAATTAATTTACTTTTATTATTAGTATAGCAAATACTTGAGCCGGGAGATGTTTTAAGTGTTTTACAAATATTAAATATTTTAATTCTCACAATTATTCTATGAGGCAGCTGTTACTAATACTGTTTATTATATATTTATGAAAATTAAAGTACAAAGATTTTTTTCTTGTCTAAAATCACACCGGAAGTAAATGGAACTCACATTCAGGTATTCTGGCTCCACTTCACCACTCTGATATTGAGAAGTATTAACAAATCTGATCTCAGGCAGAATAAGAAAGATGTGAGCAGCTTGTAGATTTAGTCGGAGCTCTACCTACTGAAAGATAAAATAGTTATTATCACAGGGGATACTTGGAAAAGGTCAAAAGCAGGGACTTTATTTTAAATGGAAAACCCCCCAAATTTTCAACATTAATTAGAAATAAGAAGGTAGTTTAATTAGAGACTGATTTTTAAAAGATGGGTGGACTTTTATCAGAACGCTAAAATATTAGTAAGTACTGCCTTTACAGTGACCATAGAACAAGGATGGCTGAGCCTGACCTCACGGCTCAGTGGTTGAGCAGTGACCTGTGAACCAGGAGGTCATGGTTCCATCACTGGTCAGGGAACATACCCTGGTTGCAAGCACAATAGCCAGTAGGGGGCATTCAGGAAGCAGCTGATCAAAGATATTCTCTCATCATTGATCTCTCTCTTTCTCTACCTCTGAAATCAATAAAAATATATATTTTTAAAAAGAACAAGGATGTCTGAGACAAATGATCTGACTAATCAGTGTCTAATGCTTATTTGCCGTATTTTCATTTTAAATTCTTTTAAAATTGTGTCACTTAGTTTGAATGGAACATAGTAGTATAACATTTTTCATATTTATTATTTGTAGGATTATATGAAAAAGAAAATTATCACCAGTAGTTTTACAATATAATTTCCTTTTACCCATGTCCCCATTTTTTCCTCTGTAAAATGTATCCCTGATATATTCATGGCAATTGAAATAGTCACTTAACAGAATTATTTTCTAGTATATTGTCTAAATGAATTTATTTTATCAAATGATAAATAACTATAATAAAATTATGTAAGCAGAAATTAAGTAATTATTCAGATTTTTATCAAGAAAAGTTTAATATTTGAAGTCTAAGTTCTTTATAAATAGCTACTGCTTCTTTTAATGTGAAAAAATGCCATCTGGATTAAATTTAGAAGGTAAAAGGACCAAATATTGTCTGCAGAATGCTATACACTTAAATATTTAGATATGTCCTCATGATAGACTGCATTTTTATTTTCCTCACAGCTACTAGCTTTTTCTATGTGGGGTACAGAGGGCCCCCAGGGAGGAGAGTGTGGACATAACTATCTCTGACATCAGGCAGAATGAAGACAGCTTTATAATATTGTTATAGGGAAGATGTTGAATAATTGATTTAGAGTTCCAGCACAAGAGCCAGGGACTGAATATCTCTTCAAGACTCTCATTTGTTATTTCATCCTCAAGGTATCCGCCAAGCTCCTTCTCTGTGCTAAGCCCCAAGGTAGGTGTCAGGGACATAGATCACAGCCTACACGGGTAGACAAATAAGTCATGGCAACATGTCTAAAATACCATTG